AAGAGGAGAGGAATCAAATATTACCATTAAAAGGCATGAAATAACTTTTCTGGCAGTGGACTGACATTCATCACCATATTCCCTGAGGAGTGATTTGCTGCTCTCATTTGCCTTGCACTGCTCAAAGTGCACTCTGAAAAGCAACCCTTATTATAACTGCCTGTTATATCCAGGAAGTGAAAGACCAAATTACTTACGGCTTTTTCATCAATTTATATCCGCAAGACTACATTTAAAGCACTAATTTACCTAGAAACTAAATATTTTTCCTGTCGCACTGCAGAAGACAATCTCTACTTACACCTCAGATGCACTGATCATGCAGTGTTTCTTTCCTGACATTCAAGTAACTCTAGATTCCCCATTAACGGGCAATGGACAGCCATGTAAAGATATTTAAAATCTGCCCCCAAAACAGTACTAGTTAAAAGTCAGAGTGTTTAATCCCAGGCAAATTCCAAAGGTATATATATAAAAAAAGCATTTTAGTTTTTAGGAAAAAAAAAAGCATACTTCCTGCTGCAGGAAAAATAACAGAAAAAAAAATTAAAACAAGTAAGAATTCTTGTTTCATTAGCTGTCAAAATAAAAGTGACCCTTTCAAGCCAAATTCTGAAAATCTCAAGTCAGTATGGCTTTCAGTTTCTCAGCTTTCTAGCTCTGTGTTTTCTAAATGCTTCCAGCAGGTAAATCTGGAAACTCTCACAGCTCAATCAAAGCATGATTTCTCAACACTTATAGGATTCTTGGCTGGTATCTTCAAGCCTGAGGCAGACCATACGGTGACACATCTCAAAAGACATTGACCCTGAAAGCTTTAGGTTTCCCAGCTCCAGAGCAGTTCATTTAGTAGGTCTGTTTATGAGTAACAGTGTCATGGACCTGTCAGCCCAAAGGTAACTTCCATGGCAGAACCACCGAAAATTGTGGACTCAGCAACACAGGAGGCAAGGTAGGACCAAAAAAACTACTTTTTTTTTTGTTAAAAATTGCTGAAGTAAATTTTGAATGGGCCCCATGCAGATCTTTTTGCTTTAAACATTTGCTCCAATGCTAACTTGTCTCCTCAATTTGATCCTTAGTCTTGTTATCAAAAAAGAAGTCCTTTTTTTTTTTTTAATTGCCCCAATTCCCACATTCTCTAGCACTGTTTACATTGTCAGTATTCACCTTCATAATTTTATGTGTGGAACAAGACCTCCTAAAATTTGACCAGATTGACCTAAGCGTACTCTTTCTTCCTCCACACCAACTACTCTTCACTTTTTAACCACACAGTCAAAGCTCTCAAACAACTCCTTACATTTCATCTTGATTACTGCAGCTATATATTTTCTGGTTTCCGTGATGTTCGTGTTGCCAAGAAACACAAGAAAGAAGAAAATTACTAAGAGATGATGGCACTCATTTGAAATGAGAGCTCCTGTAGCAAGTGTCAAGTTTTTGGGCAGAACGAGGGCTGCAGCTTCTAGTTTATACAATCCAGAAAGGTACAGTAGTGACTAGATGAAAAAGGTAAATGTTCTTACAATTCAAATGCCTATCTCATTATTTAAGCAAAGTAAAGCAGGTTAAACAGTAGAGAGTGGAGTGATACCTAGTCTTGGGTAGCAGTCAATCTCTTTGACTGTGGAAGGTACTAGTCTTCCACAGCAGAAGACCATAGCGTGTTCTTTTGAGGTGATGGTAGTCCTCATACCTCTTTTTTTTGAGGAAAAACATGAACAAGTGGGATGGGATTGGGTTGGATTATGCATACTGCAAAATAAGTTAGACATTTTCTTTGAAATGAGGATGCCTTTTACAGACATCACTATTAGAAACTTCCTCCCATGCAAAACACTCGCCCCCAGTCCCTCCTATTTTTCTTACATTAATCTAACACAATCAATTACAGTCAAGAAAAAGGTCAAAAGTATATTGCTACGAACACACCAACGTATACTCATGCAAGTTCATTTTGCACATCTTTGTACTTTCCATTTCATGTATTAGTGATGCCAATAGCATACTATTTTCCAAAGTATCTTTAAGGCACCTGGTATGGCATGTCCTGTAGCAAAGATTTTTAGCTTCTGGGAACAACTGCAATACACACAACATGCAAATAATCATTTGGTGCTACCCTTCTAAAAAAAAAAAAAAAAAGAGTGTTTGTTCTCAGCATTTGACTCATACAACTTTATTATGAACTAAAGGGACCCTTAAGGGACTGGAGCATCTATTTTATGAGGAAAGACTAAGCGAGCTGGGCCTGTTTAGCCTGGAGAAGATTGAGAGGTGATCTGATCAATATTTATAAATATTTGAGAATAATGTAAAGAAGATGGGGCCAAACTCATCTCGCTTACGGGTATAAATTAAAACACAGGAAGTTCCATCTCCATGTGAAAAGAACTTCTTTCCCGTGAGGCTGCCAGAGCCCTGGAACAGGCTGCCCAGAGAGGTTGTGGAGTCTCCTTCTCTGGAGATCTTCCAAACCCACCTGGATGCCACCCTGTGCCACGTGCTCTGGGTGTCCCTGCTGGAGCAGGGGGGTTGGACTAGATGATCTCTAGAGGTCCCTTCCAACCCCAATCATTTTGTGATTTGATGATTAAAATTTCAGCACTTACTTGGCTACTGTTGGATGATTTTGTTGGATACATTTCAGGCCTTAAATTACATGCTTAATATTATTGATTGCTCCTGATAGCCTTTGTTTAGGAAAAGCCCAATATTAAAATGGTAAATTTTAATATTTAATTTTGGTGCTATCAGCAACCCTCAGATCTGAACAAAGGAAAAGACCTTGAAATACAGAGCAACCATTAGATTACAACATTTTTAAAGTTTTGATTTTTATTAGATGTTGGTATATCCTTTAGTGAAATCTGTCATGGAATAAAGAGTTCAGAATAGTTCCAATTCCTTTAAAAACACAGTTGCATTCTCACTAAACGAAAATCATTCCTGTGGGCTACGAAGCGATAAATGCAGTGAGCTTATGCCACAGTATCAATCAGATTTTTGAACTAATATAGACAATATGATCTCAAGATTATGATAACATTACTAAGTCTGAAACAGTAGACTAGGTAAAGCAAGATCACAGGCTGCTTATTTCTATTAAGGACTCATTACTTACACAAAGAACTCCAAAACAGAAAAAAAAATGTGGCAGAAGTATCCTTATCAGTAACCTGCCCCTAGAAGCAAGGGAGGATCTACAAACTGATTTGATATGTATTAGAAAATAACTAAATCATTAGTGCGCAATATTTTAATTTTTCAAAACACATGCCAGTCAGTGTTTTGTGTATGCACAGCTTAGTTACCCTGCTTTTTCCATGTCAGAGCTCAGTTCATGCAGTTAGTATAGAAGCATACTCTTCCTTCAGAGGAGCTTTGCTTATAATAGCCGTCTGATTCATGATGGCAAATGAAAACAAACATTTGTATAGAAAGTCATAAAATTCCTTATTGAAAGAGTTGGAATAGTCACTGGCCATTTGAATTTAACCCTGAATGTTAATTTTCTAAATAGAAAAAAGAGTTCGAATTGAAAAAAAGTTTGAAAGTTTATGGCCGTATCTCTGTTTATGTAAAGACTTCCATGTATAATATTGAAATAGAGTCAGTATATGCTGCATTAACACGCTGTCTTATGAAAACTACCTTGTGTTGTGCTGGTAGCAAATGATGACTTTATTAAGTGGTGTTGTGTTATAGGACTGAATTTTGTGTGTAGTCTCTCTTCTCATCAGCATATTCCCAGTTTTCTATTCATAGTGCTCATCTGTGATCTAATAGAGGGTTGATTTTTTTTATTTTATTAAATGAATCCGTAGATGACTTAGAGATTAGATGAATCTAGAGAAAGAATTAATTCCACAAACTAAATTAGAGTAGACAAAAATGAATGTGAAGTCAAGATCAGCATTTTTCAAGCTTTTAATTATGGCTTCCTGATGTATGCTTCCTTGTAGCTTCATTATTTATATTTAGTAATTCACTGTATCTGCACAAATAAACTCATACAAATACCAGAAATGACCTTGAAATGCACAGAACTGGGAAAAGTATAGTTAAAGTAATTAACATGGGAAGTCATCTTACCTGCGAGACAGAAGACAAAACACAGTACAACAAGATGACTGATTATGAGGCACATGGTTGTCTTCATGGTTACCTTCTATTCAGAGATTAGCTCAAAAGGAATTTTGCCTTGCCACGCCAGTATTCAGAGAACCAAAAACACCTGATTAGAGAAAAAGAAAAAGCAGTGAATAATCCTGATACAAGGCTGTATCTCATACCATATTGAACTTGCCATATTAACTGAGCATTAACTCTAAACTGAGAGTTAATACTTAAGAGTTAATACAGAATAGTCTTTTGAATAATACACGTTCTATTGAATTTGGTGGATCAAATTAATGAGGTCTTTTATCCAGAGTGCACATTGTTTAAAGGCCTATAGAGCACTTGGATTTTCCACTGATAATAATGCATTTGGCAAAAGTTAATATTGAACGTTCTCTTCCTAAACCACAAATGTTGTTTGGGTTGAATCTAGACCTTCTCTGAGAGAATGCTGCACAGTATTAGAAATACTAGAAAACTGTGTGGTTTACAGTAAACATAAAAAGTGCGGATTCTGTCATCCTTCATCTCAGTCTGTAAGAAGAAAAGAACTGAAGTTCATGAATCTCCTTCAGAATTCATCTACTTTGTCCAGTTTTATCATTCCTTTCAGGCTTTTAGCATACAATTCATGATCTCATGGAAAGTTAGTATTAGCTTTCTTTTAGTTTTCTTTTGATTGCTCTGAGCATAATGAATATTATGTCATTTTAAAAGTTTTCTTTCTTTCCTATGAGAAATTCTGCCTGTATATACCCTACTAAAAAGCCACAGAAATATATATTGAATATTTTAAATATTTTAAGAATTTAGATACCATTTTCCACAATACTTTTCTCCTATACCATTTTCTGCTTCTTTAAATCAGAGTATTTTGATATCTTATTCTTTCTTGTTGGTGGCAGTTATTTCAGTCTTTAGGGCACTGAGTCATCATGTTTGCAGTGTGTCATTTTCATTTTTAATGGATGTATTGCCATGCTTGTATAAAATTATTCTTTACATCTATCACATCTTGTTCATACTGCTGTTTTCTTCTCTTGACTGGCTCTGCTGCAGCACAAGCACTATGACCTTCACACAAAGCAAGGTTTGCAACTTATCAGCGATGGGCTGTTTTCATCTCTTAGCTACACGCTGATGTTATCCACTCTTCTCATTTATTGCATCTGTTACTATTTCATTATACAAGTAAGCTCAATATATACTTGAATACCATTCAGTAAGCTGCATCATAGGGCATGTTTGCATGCTAATATGCCACTCTCTTTTCTTTGCAGGATGCAATCTTGATGTTAATCTGTTCCAACTTTCCATTCCAAGTACTTGTGACTCAGATAGCAGCTTTTACCTAGATTCCTGCACTTTCCATGCTAAAAAGTGTTCTCTTTTCCAAATTTTATATGCTTTAGATCTTGTTTTAAAACTGCTGTTTCTCACCTCCAGCAGCAAGCAATAGACTGCTTTAAATTTCACAGCACCTGTATATACATGCCTATCTCCACTAGTATTTTGGGGATAAATGCTATTCCAATCAACAGAGAGTCTCTGGTTTGAGTTTTTACCAGACAGGAGTGTTGCATTGCATTAGTCTCATGCGTCCCCCTGAGGGGACTAGGAACATGCTTCAGCCATTAAGACTTCACAATTTTTTCCCTTCTCCTCACCTTGGGAAATCTTTTTTGTTGTTGTTTTTTTCTCTCTCTCTCTTTTTTTTCCTACTGTTTTACTGCCATTAAGGACTGTCTATGCTCTACTGAGCTCTCTCCTGGAATTCCAGATTTTACTCAGGCAAAAGGAGATGTAGGCAGTGGCAGTGCCACTGGTGACAACTCCTTCTCTTCACACACGCACCAACATTTCTGTTCAGTTCAGGAGTCTACTTATGAAGTCAATCACACCCACCTACAGTGCTCTGGTTCAAATAATACAGAAGACTGAAAAAGGAAACTGGATTCCCTCTGGAAAAAATCAGACCAAAAGTCACATGGAAAGAGAACAACTAACATGTTCCAACAGCACTAGACTACAGCTGGTCTGAAATAAAGCCCCCACAACACACTATGTGACTTCTGGGTTTACAGCATCAAGGTTTTGATAACACAGCCACTTCCGCCTTCACCCACTTTTACCAGAAATCACTGGAGACACTCAGAGAAATGTAGGTTTGCTATTTTCCCCTTTTACAAGAATGCTTGAACACGCAGAGTGCCAAATAATGCTAAAAAGGCAGGAGCCCTCATGTTCCTTTGAATGTATCTCAAATAGCTCAATTAAATTACTGAGCTTTTAATAGAAGGCAGTTTCATGTGGTCCTTTATTAAGCTAACAGCATGAAAGTCTTTTTGGCTTAGAAATTATCTGAGTTGTTGAACTTCATCCTTTACCCTTATTTTGGCAGATAAAATGAGCAGGGAGCAATACTATTAGCTGCCATCATGCTGACAGTCATGATATTTGCATGAAAAACAGTGTTCAGCAAAACACACAGCAGAGCCAAACAGCAATCCCAAGAGCTGGGGTTTATTATTGTCTGGAATAAAAAAAAAGGGCTCTTATGTTGGTAACAAACACATACACATATTGTAGCTGGATTTAGTTACCCAAGTGGAATAATTTACTAAGCAACTTTGCCCTCTTGCTTTTGCAGACATTACAGCTTTTTCAAACTCTGCCATTATTTTTTGTTCTACCATACGATGAAAGATATTCACAACTCTTTAACTTACATGACCGAGGTATGAACTGCTCTATCTAAAAGAAAGAGGTAAGCAACATCAGCGAATCACTTGGTACACATTTCCTGCAGCCAGGTCATGCCTGTGAAGCTGATGATGTTATCACTCTGCCTCCCCCAGACCATTTATTCCAAAGTGACATGAGTTAAACTGCACAGTTACTGTGAAATAACGCACCTAATTAAATAGTAATGAAACAGTAATTCTGTTGGAACAATGGGAATTACACAGTAACTCATGATGATAATAGCTATGTTCAAATATGCTGATGGATTAAACTGTTAAGAATAAACGCGAGTTTTCTCTCTGACACTACAGGCACCATTGCAGACAGAAAATCCTTCTTTCAATTCAGATTCAATCCTGAAAAGTCTCTTCCTTAGTTCTTTGAAAATTCATTTCTGTTGGCTCAATCACACTGGTTCAAATTGCAGTAAATTAAAATTTTGTCTGTAAATCACATGCTATAAACACCCCACTTCATTCATATAAACAATACCCATCCTGCCAGGATTAAAATCCTCTCCTCACTTCCATTCCTTTCAGCTGAACAAGCGCTGCACACAGAACACATCTAGCCTGACTCATCTCAGTTTGGGGAAGAGAAGCGAGGCTGTTGCACATTGCTCTAGCAAGCTTCAGCAGAATCGTCTGCAATGAGAGCAGGCAGCACATGGCTTCCCTTACCCTCTTTCCTCTGAAGTGCTGTATCTGTACCTGATGCCACTACCCAGCTGCGTAGGGAAGAGCTCCCGCTCGCTGGAGCAGCAGCACTGCCAGCGCAGGCGGCACTGTGGGCTGCAGTGCTCACGCCGCGCATCCGCTGCCTTTTTGTTCTGACTTTACAGCTCTCCCCTTGTCATTCCCTAACAAAAGAACAGGCATTAGTACAACTCACTTTACGCCCCTGTAAAATCACAGAATACTTATATGCTTAGATACAGACATTTTAGACTACAAAGTCTAATTAAGCTGAGTGTACTATCCTTTTTTTCCCAGAGTATATAATTATAGCAAATGAGTAAGCGATTTTCAAAATATGTAATAAAATGAGGAAGTGCTTAACCGCAACCGTGTCAAATTTAATTACTATCTAATGCTCATTAACATATTTATTTCTCTTTTCCCTGTTTTGTTTCCCCAGTGAGCCGGTCACGACTGCAGGACCTTCCTCCTGCTGGATCCAAGACAACTGCTCTGGGTGAGCTGTCTGGAGTGCAACCATCCCAAAGGTGGTGTGGAGAAACTGGGACACTGGCTGCTGAGCAGAAAGCACGTTCAATTTTTAACACAGGGACCTCCCAGAGCTCTTTTTGGAGGCTTGCAGTGTCTCATGAGGCTTCCTGATGATGAGAAGCATTCCCTGGACAACAGGGAAGACCTGCCTCTATATTATCAAAATGTAATAGTTCATTAATCTCCCAGAAAAAGTGCTTTAGGAAAAAGTCTACATTTTCTTCTGTATTCTTGTTCAGGTCTACATTGTGTGCTTTGGCTGTAAAGACTAAGGAGAAAAAGATCCACTTTTTACAGCTATGAAAGTAGCCAGTTTTTACATCAATTAATAAATATAAACATGTAGATAACATTACCAATCTGTAAGGATATGTCATAATGGAGATATAAAGGAAAATAAAAAACAGCAGGTAAAGGCAGGCAGTGAAATAAAGAATTTCAAATAAACTACATAAACTACTATATTTGAAATCAAGAAGAGGTGGATGAGGAATGGACGAAGGACCAACACAGTCTAGCAAACCCAGACGTCTACTATGGAAACTGGAGCAACAGTGCAAAATGTTAAAGGGTGGAAGAGGAAGCAAAGCTACAGAACTTGCCAAAGCAATGCAGAGAAAAATGCAACAGAGAGAGAAAGAAAGGCAAATACAGATGTGTGAGAAGGGGACTTTGCAATTCTTGTATTTTGATCAACTAGACTAGCACAAAGTAATGAAAGGAGAATTTGGTTATGAAAGCAGAGAATCATGTTGCAGTTGCATAAGAGAACTAATGATAGATACATCTAGTTTAAAAGACAGTTTAAGGAGGTTGTCACGGTCCCTGTCAGTAAGTCTGAGTTTTTACCCTAACAAGCTCTTCCTTGAATCTCCCTTCCTGTGGCTTTCAGGATGGGAACAGCTTGACAACTACATCTACCCTTGGCATCGGTTCAGGGCTCCCTCTTAAGAATCCCCAGTGCAGAACTTGTAGTGTGAGGGCAAAATAAAGTGTTTACAAGTTCTGGTTTACTAAATTTTGCTAAGAGAGGCAAATGGAATTTCTTGTGATGATCT